CACGCGACACGAGACCATATATATATTACTTGGCTCTGAGCAGCTACTGACAGCTACTGTGCATGCAAGGAACCGCCTGCAGTGCTGCAACAATCATCTGCAGTGCACCCTGCCACGTGTAGCTCTAAACAGCGGTTCTCGAATCCGACACCCAGAAGAAAGGCAGACGAATCGTGGGAGGACTCAAAGCCTGTGCTCGTGATGCGGGATTCCGACCGAGCCGTGCTTTTGAAGCCAGCTGGCTGGGAAGTCTACGGCCAGCGCACTGCCTGCACCTGGTATATCTTGCAGACTCAGGGTTGTGGGGTCTTGCAATAGTGGTGGCCTGAAGTCATGCGCCGATAATTGAACTACTCCACCCGGCAGCAAAGCCATGCGTAATTAAGCAATCCGACTCGGCAGGCACACCAAGCGACAGCTGTCTTCGTTTGCCGCCGACGTTTTGGGCTCGAGGCTCCGAAGCGATGTTTGCATGAGCTTGCTATGCTTACCATGCTTGGCATGAGAGTCTGTGCTCTTGGAGTTGTGATTGAGAGTCTTCTCCTGCTATGACGTTTGTCGACAAGTGACGAGATCTTACGATTCCGAGGCTTGAGTTCAGTTCGGGTGGGGCAATGTTTGCGATAAGGGTTCGTTTGATGGCATGAAGGTTTCAGGCCCTTGAGAAATAGCAGGATGGGAGTAGCTATCCCATGGCTTCCGATTGAACGTCAGCCTCTGAACCCCGTCTAGCGAAACCCCCAAAATGATAACTCCATAGAACTCCGTTACTTAGTACAACCTCGAATTTTTCAGCAGAGCCGGGTCCCCGAGGCCGATCTTCGAGGATCCGGGGCACTACCACGGCTTCCTGCATCGCCTCGATGTACCCAGCTCCGGCCTCATCCTGGTGGCGACGAGCCTCCGGGATGCCACAGGTTTAGCGTTTAGGGTTTAGGGGTTTAGGGTTCTTCCTGCTTCACTCAGAGGTTCCAGCCTAATCGTAGAAAGCTGGATGGACCTCAGATGAGGCTTGAAAGTCTGCTGTGTTTGGGCCTCCCTGGGCCAACGGAGCACCTAATCACGGTTTTCCAGTAATCCCCAGCAGACGTCCTGGCATACGTGTCTTCGAAGGGATATACTGCTAGCTTTGATGCAGGACTCTTGTACAATAGCTCTCGTGGCAGCAGAGGTCTGGACGCAGAAAAGTGCCAGAGCCAAGGCTACGAAGCCTACTACGATCTGCAGGTCCAGCTACACTCTGGCCAAGTACAGCGTGACTACACCGTCCTTCACCATGGCCGTTTACCTGTTTCTGTGAATCAGGTGTGGATGGGCAAAGTCCAGGGGTGGGAGGATGTTGCCTTGCTTTATAGGCAAGGAGAGTCCGTCCCCAAGGTCTTCGACAGGCTATCAAATGCTTCAGAGAAGGGATGTTTGTCTGCATGCTGTCGTGAGTTCACATACTGCATAAAGAACTTGCTGTCTAGTGTGGCCACGGAATATGTCTGGAGAGAGAGTCTGAAGCTGAATATCTTTGCCTACATCTCGTCTCTTCTCCCCATACAAACATAGCGTGTTGGAAAGTGTAAAATGTAATGCATGCAATGTAGCACCTACCAGGAAGCAAGCTGCTTCGCTCCCTGTTGGCACCCAAGAGGTGGACAGCCGCCTGCACTGGCATGGAGATGGACCTACCCTTGCGGGGGGTCGGGGGAAGCCTTCGCGCACTCTGGTCGTTTTGCAATGGTACGCAGAGAGCGAGGTGAGGTGGGATGGGCAGGCTGCTGTGCTCGGAAGAAGTTGTAGTTGTAGTTGTAGTTGTAGTAGTAGGCGCGGGTGTCATATTTGACGCCACGTTTTTGCGGCTGTGAGGACGAGCTTTCATCGATAATTACAGCACTTTTCGCAAGGCAACAGCAGGAGTGTCGAGGGTAGGATTTAGGTGTTT